TATATAAACATACATATCGGAATGTTTTAAATTTTTTGTAGGTTTTCGAAATTTCAGACTTTCCTCGGAATTTTTTGGTAATTTGGCGAGTTTTTAAAACCGTCTATCTCACTAAAATAAAAATGAGTATATTTCGAAAAAGGAAACCCCTTTCTTGATACTTCTTTGTCGCGCCAAAAGATTCGACTCGTTGAGATATGGAAACTATATTTTAAGGCTAAGTAGAATTTTAGTCGTGATGACGCCAGCTTATATGGTGTAAGTATAGTGGCAGTTTTTCAAGTTGCCGACTCTATTCTCCCTCCACCTAAATCCATTAAAATTATCGATTTTAGGAGGAGCAATTTTCCTCACCCTGAATCGATTGTTTTACACACATTTAAACGGAGAAAAAACTGCGTTAAATATTGAAAAAAATTGAGCTCAGTTTTTTCAAAGTGAGTCTTGAGTACAAAGGTAATGAATAAAAACTTATTGTGTCTTGATCCTATCACAGTCATTGAGGTTATTCAAGAAACATGCGTGGAGGTAATTGACGATTACGGTGCAGCATTTGGCCTCAGATTCTATCCTTGTGAAGGTAGGAATGGGGTCTGCTACCTTTTTAGTTCCATATTTTTTCGAGATGCGTGTGTTGAGAGACAGTGGAAGACTTTAAAGGCTCCCTTGGGTAACAGATGTTTGGCACCGAAAAAACTTCGTCTTCCTTTTAATGCTCCTTCGAAGTGTGTACTATATTCGTTCCTTCAGCACTGACCGCCTAAAGAACATCATTCTTTTAGGTAGTAGGATGAATGGAATTCCTTTGCAAAAATTTATCGTTGGATGATGTGGATGAATTAGGTTGTGTTAGGATGGATTGGTTAGGTGGTGTGTGTGATTAGGTTTCTCGAGTATCCTTTTAAAGGAGGAGAAATCACATACCAAAGAGGACAGTAGATGAAAAATAATGGAAGATTTCCATTTTTTCGTCTAATTTACAGCGTAGTTTTGGAAGATAATTTTTTGTGCGAAAAAGAATGTACCATATTGTTGGTGAAACTACCATATCGTTGGTGAAACTACCAGATCACACGTGTCTCGGTTTGCAACGTTGCAGACTTCTTTTTGAAATGGAAAATTACTTATCGTAAACTCCTGAAAATTTTCATTGTTTGCCTTTTCCATGGAAAAAAAACCTCTGTAAAAACCTCATGGAATAATATTGATTTGTTTTCCCTCAAAAAAAAAAAAATAGGAGTGGCCATTTTTAAACACCTTTCTTAAACACATTTTCAAACGAGATATTATTTGGTTTGGTAATTTCACCGTCGATATACATGTACCTCTGAAACGTTGGTAATCGGTTTAAGAAAATGAGAATTATTTTTATCATAGTCGAGAGAAACTATGCACAAATCTCCTGAGATAGTCAAAGAATACAGAATATTAGCATCGTATATTCCGGAAAATGTAAAGATGATGAAATTGAAACCGCCCGGGAACTCTAAAGAAGTAAACACATTAATAGCTCCTCCGCGATCTGTGACTGAGAACCCCTGGCTTGTATAAAACTCACGCTATGTTGCTTACAATCGTCGACTAATAAGGCGTGGATTCACTCAAAGGCGCGAAATCCTCTTAAATTTTAACAGCTTCGATGTTTCCGTCTTTTATCGGGAATTTCTGGTGGATTGTCATTCTTCCTTGATTGTCAGACATACTAAAGTAGGCAATACTGGAGTAGACATTACGTGTTTGTAAAACTGATAAACTGAATACCTATTCTAGTCGGTCAACTGTGACCTGCAGTTCAATAAAAAGTAAGCACAGAAAGAAAAATGAAAATCTATGAAATTGATATTTGTTTTTTAACTTGCTTCTCATTCTCTCTCTCTCTCTCATAGGTCGATGATATGTCCTAACGCTGAAAATTAAATATATTGAACTTCAACATAATTCAATGGTGAGCGTAGATAGGTCTAAATCAGACGATGAGGTATATTTTAATTGCTTTCCCATTCACTTATCCTCTTCAGATAACCGGACAAAAAAAAATGAAGGCCCTTCTTCGGAAGTTATGAGTACGGAATTTGCCATCCTGTGTAAAACTTCTCGTAAAAATTAATATATTTTATTCATTGATTTAAGTTCTCCTATCACCGCCCACTTACCAAAGAGGAACAACCGATTTGTCATTTGTATTTAATTTCATTCTTAACCATTCCCTACATATTAGAAAGAATATTATTACATAAATTGATGATTCATCACATGAATCCGTTATCGAAGCTGTTCAAAATGAAAGAGACTAGCTTCGCACTCAAATTCAACCTTTTGGCCTTTTTACTACCAAAATTAATGAGCAGTCCAAAATCCTTAATTTTTTTAATAATCCACAACTAAAAACAACTTTTTCTTCTTATCCTACTATTCCCATGATTTCTAGATTATTCTTTACCTGTCATTTTCTTTTTGTACCCTGTTTATTTCCTTACTTCCCAAAGGTTTATGTTCCACCCACCTCAGGTCCATTACAGCCAATAGTTCCTTTGGAGCCGAATAAATTGTACGTACTTCTACTATTTATTTATTTATATATTCATTCGTTGTCTGTAAAACAATAATGCTAACTGCGGTTACTCAAAAATAACGGCAGTTCTGATTCTAAACGGTCGCAATCGTGCATCGCATATTTAAACCATCGAATAAATTGTGACACTTCTGGGTCAATAATAGAAATTCAACTATTTTAACGTGTGGGAGACGTTGCTGCCTATCCGCCAGGAGTGATGGCGTTTAGAGTGTCTCTCTAAATAAGTGGGCAATCAAACACTGTCAGCATGCATACGTCAGAACTTGAGATAATTGGACCATAAGGCACAAAGAGCTTCGCCAATTATTATCACAAAAAAATTGAGTGTAATTATATGAAAGGAGAGACATGTGTTTTACGTAGGGAATTTGAAGTAAATGGGCTGATTTTCCTCAAATGTATCCAATTTTTGAATCCTTTTTTTCTTTTTGTTGAATTGAAGCGTGTCGTTGGTCATAGATGAAAGGTGTTAATTTGCAATGCGAAACCGAAGAGAATAATTTCGTTTCTCATCAAAGAGAACGCAACAGGCAAATGCTATCGGGAGTAATTTTTAAAAATGATCGTATCAAAAAATGAATAAAAAAAAAAAAAAAAATCAGAATATAACTGTTTTTTGAACTCATTTTGTTTTTTGTAACTATATGAAACAGCAGTCAATAATGCCTATTTAAACAATGAAAGAAAATAAATCCGACACTATTCAGACCGTGTTTTTTTAGAATTTGAATTGGAATCAGCGATGCAAGATTGACTGCATTATGTTTCCTTCGATTAACATAAGTTTTTTCCTTAATTTCCCACGGGGTTTTTCTAATTATTTTTGAGCCGTTCTTGGCGATAGCCAGCGCCACAAAACAAAATAAATGTATGAATCGTTGAAATTCAGTGCAATGAATTGAATTTAAATTTTCCTCGTTTGTCTAGTAATCCATCGATTGAGCAGAACGCGAGTTTCTTAAATCAATTTCTAAATACCTTCACTCATGGGCATTGATTTTCATTCTTTTTGTTTTAAAGGCTAGATCTCCGACCGTTAGTTTTCAAAATTCTCTGAAATGTATTTGCAAACCAAAATTTTAACTTAAAATTTACCAAACAAACAAAATTTTACAATCTCTTAAGAGATAACATATGTGTATAGGATTTAATACCATTCGTTGCATATAATTTAGTTCGGCTGAAACACGGCCAAATTCTGACAAAGTTATTTTACACCATTCCACGGTCATCTACCCATGACTTCTTAAAATTTGCTGGTTTTTTGGTACATTTAGTAAACCATTTATATTAAAAAATTGTTTTAAATTAATATTTGTTTTAAACTACCATATCGTCTGTCATACCATTTTCTGCTACCCTTTACCTTGGTTCTTTCGACGGTGAAAATACAGCAATGAATTTTTTTTGTGCGGACAAATAGGGACGCGGAAATTTTTACTAGGAGGCAGTGATTCAGAAGTTCCCGGTTTCGTTTTTTGGAAATATAGGAGATTGAAAATGATTCGTTTTTGAACCAAACTAAATCTATCAATCTCAATCTCATGAAAGTCATGGAAAATGTTTTGAAAGAAAGAGAATAAATGAAGGGGAAAAAATGAGAAAAGGGGCAAAAGGGGAGAAAGAGTAAGTAAAAATAAGAAGAATGGGAGGGACAAAAATGGGATAAAAATCTAGAGAATTAGAGGAAGAATGCAACGGGGGAAAAGAAAGAAATAAAGAGAAAAGGAGAGGAAGAGGGTGTAAAACAAAGACAATTGGAGACAGAGGGGGAAAAAGAAGAATATGGAGAAAAGAAAGAAATCAGGAAGAATAATATTGAGAGGAAAAGGAAAAAAAATATGGGATAAAGGAAGAATTAGGGAGAAAAAGGGAGATTTCCAAAGTTAATAGTAAATAAGACGAAACATGTCTGGGATCAAATTTTTGGAAAAGACGAAGAATTTCCACTAAAAGTGACCTCAATGAATTGAGATTAATTGAGTATGTGGCAAAGATGATTCTATATAACTGCATTATCGATGTTCAATGTACTCATTTTCGATAGCAGTCATATTTTTTTAAAAAAAAATCTCGATTATCGAGCGATTTTAGTTCATGCTTAAAAAAATAAATAAATAAAATATTTGTCATATATTTTAACATCCATCCACCATCAACTCTTCTCATAAAAACCCCTGTCAATAAAGCGGTGTCTACCCCTATTCTATTGTAATAAATTTAAGAAAAAATTTGTAAAGACCCTCAATGTCTAAAAATGGACTTAGTAATTCTTTATGTGTAATTACAAAAATAAATAAATAAAAAAAAAATATATACATATATTTTAAAACGTTTTCCTGCAGTAAAACGAATTTCTGGAGGTGTTTCCAAATTGAACCATTTAATTCATCTTTAAGTCATGCATTAGTTCAAACCTACTGACCTGATGAGGAAAAAACCAGGGATAAGGCGGCAATGAAGAGCATAGCGGAGGGGTGCTCAAGGGAAAGGAACACGTGTTCACTGTTTAAGTTTAACTGGGGGGTGACTTTGCAGCCAACTCGCGATCACACCGGCTTGACTTGCGTCAACCGATGAATGCCCCCCCCTCCTCTTCCACACTATCCCTTTCAAACCTCCACGGAGACCCGCTAAAAGCCAAAACACCCCTTTCCCTTGAGTCTTTCGACGGTGAAAATACCGCAATGAATTTTGTTGTGCGGAAATATAGGGACGCGGAATTCTTTGAGGGTGAGAGGGGGATGATGAGGCGGTTCAAAGAGCAAAAAACTGGGAACGGTGCTGGATTGGTCTAATGAATCTGCATTAAGGTAGAATTTAAACGAAGAAATACACGTAAAAAGTATTGACTTATGGTCAATTTAAATTCAATTTTAAACCTAGCCTAACGGTTCAAACCATCTTTTGTCATCGGAAGCTTATGGGAAATGAACATAAGACAGAAACATTGAAAGCAACTAAACAAGAAATTTACGTACATATTAAAAGTTATTTTAAATTATTTACCGATGTCTCCTATTCTGTGGCTTGAACTAGTATACATTCGATCACATTACCAACTTTCGGGTAAAATGAACCTCGAAGTAGAATCCAAATCTTACTGGTGGCTTTGGTGAATTTTCTGACCAACTCATCAGGGGAGAGCCTCCATAATATGTAAATTGTGCGAAAATTTCAGAAACTTGTTTTAACATGTTTAAAAAATTGTCTAAGGTATTTGACAACAATGCACTCACCAAGTTTTCAGAAAGTGAAAGTGTGTCGTCTGTGACGAGGCATGACAATCATTGAGCCCCCCCTCGAAATGAAGTCTGAACAATGGATTTACTTGACCTTCATATTTTATGGAGCTTTTTTGGCTGTTAACTCGCACACGACAACCGTCTCGATTGAGTGAACTTATCTATTCAATAGTTTTACCAATTGCATCGAAGCCAAGTGCTTTGTCCGTACCCATTCTAAACATTATTGTCCACAACATCATTTCATTTCTGGCCATATTTTACGTGCCGTCGACAAAATCTGCTGTAATCCATACGCTAACCGACAGATGTCCCCCACCGGCCGATTTCCGATGAATAGTTCTCCAAATTTCTGACGAAACTTATAAGTATCAAAATAAAAACCGCCTTATGTAATATTCTTGGAACACGAATAGTTGCATCAATGTGCTATGGCCAACTTAGTCTAGTCTTTGTTAAGCGAGAGCGCCTCCAATTTTGGAATACGCAACACGCACAGCGAAGATACTGAAAGTATAAGCATTTTAAAAAAATAAAAATTAAATAAATAAATAAATAAAACTTGTAAAGTTGTATTAAGAACTTTTGAGAAAAATATAAAAGGTTGTAAAACTTATTTATAATGAATTAACGGCTGAGCCCGTTGGCGAAATTTTTAGGCTTTTATCCACCCTTGAAACTGGCTGCCCAGTCAAATTTGCTCAATTAAAATTTAATCGATGGCTGAACACGCTATGCAAGCACCGCGCAAAATGACTGATGCGTACTATCCTACCAGTTTGATGTGTAAGGGTGTTTTTTTCCTCTTCTTCTTTTTTCCGTAAAATATTGGCGATCACTTTTTCGATAACCTTCGTGATTTTAGTAAAGTTTACTGGGAAACAAACAAATACATTGTTTTCAGCCATTTCTAATCCTCCTTGTAGAACGCCCACCATTTTTTTTTTTAATGGACCACTAGACAAGGTACGAATTTAAGCAATCTGATACATGTTTCTTGACCAAAATGTCACGTAGAACACGATTTGCACAACGAAAATTACTGAAACCAGCTCCTAACGAAGATTTTAACGTTTTTATTTCATATTGGTTACGAGGAATTTGAACTGCCCGCTCACAAGAAACTCAAATCTCTACGTGAGTCAAATCGCGCACTACAGCGGTTTCAGCATGCCTCTCAAACGAGCAATCTTCATTTCCCACCGTGTGTTGTTCAAATTATAAGCAATTTGCTATATCTGAGCCAAAGCGTCAAGATTGACGTTGCCAGATTTTTATATCGCAGAGACTGTCATGATAACGTTTAACGCGCGATATGAATCACGTAGAGCATTGAGTTATCATGAGCGGGTGATTTAAATTCACGCACCAAGAATCACAAATTATCTTTGTAAGGAGTTGATTTCGGTAATTTTCGTTGTGCGCATTGTGTTTTACGTGAAATTTTGGTGCAGAAACATGTATCAGAATGCTGCAATTCGCACCCTGTCTAGTGGTCCATTACAGAAAGTCAGAGAAAATATTTTATCACAGACACTACACTGCTATCTCACTATTGTATAAAAGCGTTTTACGGAAATCATCTGCGATCGCCTAATGATAACTGATGAAAAAGAGTCAAACAAGCGATCTACTAATCCCAAAGTAATTTTCAGAAACTCGCCCTGCAGATAGTCCACCTCGACTTTCATCAATCATCATTCGGCCAATTTAATGTTCAGTAAATTGCACATCATTCAAAATCAGGCGAAAATTGGAGTAAAGCTCCGAACTTAGCTTTTGCCTCACCCAGAGGCAGACTGGCTCCTCAAAGCTCAAAGCTCCTCAAATTATACTCTCACCGGGAAACATTCAGGATTGCAAAATCTTCACAATCCTATGATCATAGGATTGCAAGCTTGCGGTGTGCACTGTTCGGTAATGACGTACGTTAGACATCAAGGAGAAGGAGGTACGACTAGACTTGTAAGGCGCTACCATACGTCGCGTGCTCCGTGATGTACGCGCAACGCATGAAGTATCCTGCGATCTTGCAAGGTGCTACTATGCGTTCCGCACCATGCGCGCTAGCCCCGCGCCGCGCGCCGGCCGCACTGTGTTCGACGCGATTATTCAAAATCGAGGCGTCAACGTCCGTCAGGACGGATTTTGAAGTTTTTGCACAGTTTTTTTGAATTTTTGCAATTTCAAGTGATACAATTTTACATAAAACCCAACTAATTTTCTTATCTTCATTTACATATTTTTATAAATGATTTTAAATAGGAGCATGCAAGTGAGACGACCTATACCTGTAGGCTCCCTCGTTGCTCAGTGATGTAATAGCGTGATCGTTTGGAGAACATTTTGGTACTTGGAACTACAATCTCTGGCTCATCTGTAAAAACACTTGTGTTCATAAGAGAACTAACGGTACAAACGTTGTTCCTAAACGAAGCCAGAAATTGTTGTTCCTCATCGCAAAATGAAGTTCATTTGACTTCGTAGCTTAAGGTTTGGATTCGACGAAGCGAAGGGTATGGATTCAATCGACATGAATCGATTGAAAAATAAAAACGTGAACCGATCAACACCGATTCAATCGACAACCGTGAATCGATCGTAAAACCCGAGAACGATCGATTCGACACAGGTTTTTCTAATAATTTGTCGGTCGAAGTGGTGTCGATCGATTCACGGCCATCGATTCATGTCGATCTAATCTTCACCCTCCTTTTGAATCCTCCAGTTTTATAAAGTGAAGATTTTTAGAGAGCTGGTAAAATTCATCAAAAAAATCATGATATGTGCTTCCAGCCCACATCTGAACTGATATGTTCCAAACTTTCTAGGGTCCTCGCACATTTTTGGTGGTAAGATTCAAGTGGAGGATTATGATTTGGGCCGCCTTTGGCCGGTCCTCTTAATTTTTGCGACCAAAAATTCAATCGTCTCGAGAATTTTCGAAGGACCGATCTTACTTAGAGTCACCGGCCCTCTTAGAATTTGTACAACCCACTCATTCTTTACGGTGTCGCTTTTAAAAATCCCTTTTCATCACTCACTGTCCACTTGTGTTCTGTTGCCTCCTTTTTTTCTCTTTTTCTTTCTTTCTTTTTCTCCTCGATTGACCCACCGGCCCCAACGAGAGAGTCTCAATTTCCCGGTGGGCTAGTCCACCCATGGCCTCGCCCGATTATGTTGCTTAGATTATTAGCACAGAGTCCCTAAAATATTCTATCTCTGTGAAAAGCCCCAAGGATTTATCAACTCATCAGAAATGGATCTTACAGCATCTATCTCACATGTAAAGGTACCCTGATCAACACGGGAGGTATTGCCCTTCAGTTGCAGTGACTCGCTCTATTTTGCGATACATTCTGTTTCGACCTATCGATGTTCGAGATTCTGGCCAGGATTGATTGGGGATAAAACAGAACCACTATCGATATTCATCGAGTAGCGTCCTAGCGTTTACCGGTGGGTCCCGATGCCACCGGTGGTCTATTGTTTTGCATCCCGAAGCCTCATTTCACTTTCATCCTTTCAAAAATTACTCATTCAATGTTTCCACTTTCCGACGCACCTTCTTCTTTTGACGAGCGACCCGGCATTGTCACCGGTTTCGTCAAAAACCGCGTGAACTCCTCCAAGTTCCTGCGACATTTGCGTTTTTACTGGAGATAACTCTTTCATTCAAGCCGTCACAAGGAAAAACGCCGTATAAACGTCGAAAATTTGCCAAATTTCCCCCATTACAATATTTAATTTTAAGAAAAGTTTTGCGTATATTTGACTGAGATTTTCAGATACCTGAAATCAAATTGCGAATAAAATTCTGTAACAAATTTAAAGGAGAATATTAAGAAGTTTCTCGGAAACTGTGTATTTTGTCGAATGAATTTGGCCACATCCAACGACTCATATGACGTTCTTCCATTGCGCGGTGGTATTGTCGCTTCGCGACCAGTGCGTTAAGTTACGCAATTCTAGCTTCGTTTAAAAATTCAGTCCATGTCGTCGATGGTCCTATGGACGAGTCTCGATTACGTAACCTGTTGAAAAATACGATTATTTGGATGCAGTGCTTAAACTGGTTCGATCGTAACTGTACGATCTAGATGGGCTTTTAGTAGCTATTGAATATACCTGACTAATCTTTCGTATAGGTTTGCTTTATTTTAGTAAAGACAAATCTTGCTAAGCCTTGAGATTAAGTTATTGTGTGGCTTGATGAGTGGATATTACGAAAAGAGAGTCACAAATGTGAGTT